GGGACGCGGTGCTTCTTGCCCGTACCCCATTACGCATGCGTTCGAACTGTCGCCTGCTCTTTCAAACTTGTATGCTTTTTGTCGTCAGCTCGTTCGAACGACAGCGGCCTGGAAACCAAACGTTGACCCGGTAATTGCGATAAGAACTAAGTGCAGGCCTCAAAACACTTTTGAAGGTTGGTTGGGGTAAGTAGGCTAAGTGTAAACAGATACAAGAAGATGTTAATCATTATTGTTACCAGTGGCCATCACCGACTTGTAATGCCCGATTCTACTTGCGGTTTTCAGTATCGACGTCCACCATCTCAGCTACGGTTCACGCTTTTGCAGTCCGAGCAACGTCGCGTCTGAAAACAGCGAGCAGAATCTCATCGTGGGAGTCAGTCTTTAGCGCCCATTCTGCGGCGTCCACGTGAAATGAATCGGCGCACGTCACATTATTAACGCAAAGTTTTGCCTCGTTAGTTTTGCTGAAGCCGCTCAAGTAGTCGGACATTGTTAGGAGGACGTAGCATCAACAATTCCAACGCGAAAAAGAGCACGGGGACTCCCACCGACGCCGACAACAACGCAATTCAATGGTTTGTTTATGGGCGACGGCGGGCTTCTTGCCCACCATCCACCGCGCATGCGCGGCGCCGGTGGCGTCCGCTAGGGGCGCTCCGGTTTGTTTGTAAACATGAGTTGGTGTATAAGTGCACCAGGATGGGCTTAAAGCGAAATATAGTCAACTCTCAGTAATTCAGACCTTCTGGGGCCCGAAGAATGTGTTTGAATTAAAGAAAGTTTGATTTATAGAAAGTGGGTAAATAAACATCTTTTCTAAGGCTATAGTAATACATGACATGCTCTTAAAACAAATTAAGTTTATTTACAGTGTGGAAGGTGCATGTAGATACTTGTCTAGAGTTGTTTGCACTTTTTTAGTAGCAGACTTGAAAACTAAGGTTTCAATAGCATTAAGGGCTAGCAAATGTGAGTTGGCTTCTTGCTGACTCTGCAGAAAGCGTCGGAGTCTGTCAACTGCATCCAGTGCCTCTGGAGCTGTCACTGGCGGCTTCTCGAGGGCAGAAGCAACATCCTCTTCATCACTTTCACTTTCAGTAGCCCGAATTTCCCTGACAATATCGTCCAAAGTTGCCTCTCTACAGGTGACAACATCATCGTCCGCTGCAGCATACTCTGCAAGATCAACATCGAGGCCATGTTCCTTCAAAGAGCTGAGCACTGCATCATGGTCTTTGATATCTTGCATAACCTCACTGTCGTCGGAGCTCTCACCGAGGCATTGTTCCTTCAAGAATCCTGCATGGGCAAAGCAGTTAGCAATGGTTGTGGCCCTTACATCACACCATGCTGCTGCCAGCATGTGAACTGCACACAGAACGTCAACAGCATAAGATTTCTCGTTCTCCATACATACTAACATTCGGGAAAGCACCCGAGCATGGTACAAAACCTTCAGGTTTTTAATAATGCCCTGATCAAGTGGTTGAAGGATGGAGGTTGTGTTCCCAGGCAGGAATTCCAAAGTGATTGCGTGCAAGTCCTTGACTACACCATGAGCAGTGCAGTTGTCAAGCACTAGCAAGGCTTTTTTGTTCTGTTTCTGTAATCCCTTATCGGTACGGCGCAACCACTTCTCAAACAGTTCTTGCGTCATCCACGCTCGGGCGTTAGCTTCATAGTCTACTGGCAAGCTGCGGATGCCTTTAAAGCACCTCGGCTTCTTAGATTTGCTAATAACTAGGAGTGGTAGTTTATGACTGCCATCCATATTTGTGCAAAACAGTACCGTTAAACGTTCTTTACTTGCCTTGCCACCCGCGCACTTTCTGTTACGAGGCCGCAGGGTCTTATTTGGCAGACACTTGAACACCAGTCCGCACTCGTCTGCGTTGTAGATGTCCGCTGGCTGGTAGTCACGCAAGATTTCTTGAAGGCGCGTTTCCTGCCAGCTCTTCGTAACGTTCGTGTTGACACCCGCCGACTCCCCACTGACGGTTTTAAACACCAGATCGTGGCGCTTCTTAAACTTGTCGATCCACCCATCACTGGCGGTGAAGTCGACAAGGCCCATCCGAAGAGCCAATGCTAGACCTTGTTCCCGAAGAAGGGGCCCACTGATCGGGATTTTCGACGCCCACGCTTGATGGCACCACATCAGAAGCGCCTTCTCCAGCTGAGGGAAGTTTCCTTTTCGTAGACGCTTTCGGCTTGGTGTGAAGTCCTCCGCCTCCTGGCGCAATCGGCTCTTCGCCTTTACGATCGTCGACAGGGTGCTTTTTGAAACCCCAAATTTCGTGGCTACATCTGTCAGTTTAACCCCGCGCTCGATATCTCCGATCGGGTCCAATTTTTCCTTCAATGTTAGCGCCCTGTACGGCCCACGCCGCGCCATTGCGACAAAGTTTCGGATTGCTATACGGATTATGGCTTCGTCTTTTCCAAAGCCGTTTGTAGCCAGGCATAGGTTGCCAACAGCGTGTGGTGAGAGCAGCAAGAATTATTTTGGGGCCCGATTATTGTTCGTCGGTATTTCAGGAAGAAAAAAAAAATTAATAGGGGATGAAATTCTAGCGATAGCCGATTGAATACGAAACAATGTGAAGTTCGAATTATAGAGGGTGCAGCTCGTATTATCGAAAGAAAATGCTATAGTAAATACAAATGGCCAACTAAAACTTCACGTTTTGTTCGATTTACCGAAAAGTATGAATTATAGCTGTTCGAATTACCGCGAGTCGACTGTATAAAAATAATTTAATATTGGTCGGCCCTAATATTCAGAAAAGTAGAAGGAAAAAAATGTTACGAATATATTTCACGGTGTCTCTACTCACCGTATTATTTGTTTTATCTTAGGTTTGAGCACAATCGAAAGCTCGAATGCATACAACATCGAACATACATACTAAAAGCGCGAGTCACAGGGCATTCACCGCACCCGATTGGTTTAGCCAATCAAAAAGCACATAGAGAGAGATGAATGCCATGATGTCGCGCTTTTATGCCGTTCAATTTGTCCCATTGGCTTGTAGAGTAGGCGTAGGCTGTAGTGTCGGCTTCAGGTGAAACAAAGTATAGGGATTCCAGTCGCCAGTCGATCGTCGACATCGTCTATATCAGGGGTTCTCAAACTGGGTTCCGGGGAACACAGGGGTTCCACGAGCTGGTCTCATGGGTTCCGCGAACACTCAAAATGCCACCCCCCCTCCCCCAATCCCCCCTCCCCCGCCACAGGCTGTGCGGCAGGACCATGCAAAGCGCCTTCATCTCACTTTGTACTGACATTGCAATTGATGTGGTGGGGATTTATGGGAAGCAACACAAGCGAAATTGCCTACAATTGTGCATCTGTCGCTTCTCGGTTGCCAAATACAGAGGAGGGGGGGGGGGGGGGGGGGAACAGTGTTCCGTGGCAGTTTTTGAGGCTTCCTGGGGTTCCGTGGGACCAAAATGTTTGAGAACCCCTGGTCTAAATTACCAGACGATGTCTGCCAGGTCAGGACTAAAAGTCTCCAGAAAACTTTGCAAAATAGTAAGATGGTGGTATGCTGTGATCAGACAGAACCAGGATCTTGTGCTCCTGGTGAAATCCTTCGATTATCATGTCTGCCAGATGTCTTCGTGCCGTGACTGCTGAGTACCGCGACACTTGTGCCGCTCCCGTCAACCTTCACTACATCTCATCACACCTGAGCGTGCATGCGTCGGGCTTCACCGCCTTGCACCGGAGTGCTAGGAGCAGCGGCTGACCTGTTGGAGGGTTAGCTCATTAGGCACGGAATTAATTCTCAGGATTATTACAGATCAACCATCTTTGTCTTTATTGGAAATTAATCTCTAATAATAATTAAAAAAAGAAAACAGCCGAAAAAAAAATATAAGACAATGATAACCCTAGAAAAAACATGGGTCTCTATTCAATAAATACGGTAGTTCTTGTGCAGCTGTTGAATAACGAGCAGTCAACTTTGATTTAACTCTAGTTCCGATGCCGCTGAAGAGCAGTGTCACATTTAAAGTGCAAGTGTAGGCTTTATAATATTTTTCAGTGGTTGTTTTTGTAGTTTATGATGATAGAGTTTTGAGTTTGGCAAGTTCATAAAACTTGGAGGGCGTGTTTTTCCTGGTGTAGCGGATATGCTGGCTTTTGCTTTCATTTTGCAGAAATTATATTTACAGGCCAATTAAACTACCGAGTGTAGAATGGGGATGGGAGAGAGGCTTTGTTGCTGCTGAAGGGCTGGGCTATGATTTAGTTTAGAACTATTTTTAGTGTCCGTTTCAAATGGACCCTGCTCTGACCAGAGCTTAATTTTGAAAAAAAAAAAAAAAGAAGGCTATCTGTTCCTTTTGCATCCTATTTATTTTTAGCGCGAAGTGTGATCAGTAATATGCTCCAGTATCAAAGGGGAGCTGGCAATCATTATCACAGACAAACTCATTTAGATATGCAATCACTTTTTTTTTTTTTTTTTCATTTGCAACTGCTCCAAAAGCATTAAATGCTGCTCCATACGAATATTTTGAATGCTACAGAACCTGCTAGAAAAGGTTCAAATGCTGCTTCCATCAGTGTTGTTGGATCTTTAGGGAATGCCTTAGCATGACCCTTGGGAAATGCCACAGATGGCCTCCTTTGGGAAAAGCTAATACTGATATGCATTGAAGCTAAAAAGAGGCAGCAAGAAATAAAGAAGCCAAAAATGAAGAGAGGAAGGGGTCAGCGTTGGCGTTTCTCAAAGGGGGACGTCTGTGGCGTTTCCCAAGGGTCGTGCTAATGCATTCCTTAAGGATCCACCAATAGATCTTTTTTCTCTGTTTACCATTTTGACATTGTAATCATCCAATACCCCACAATCCCCTATCACTTCCGCCGATCCAGAAGGGGTCCTTGAAACGGCGGTTGGGGACCACCGCTTTAAAGACATCCTGCCTCTGCGGAGAAACTGTACTGCAGCAACTGCGAGTGCTGTCGTGGTCCCTGGCTGCAGGTGACCCACCGGGAGACCGGGGAGGTGATGGTGCTGAAGGAGCTGCACCGGCTGGACGAGGAGGCCCAGCGCAACTTCCTCAAAGAGGTGGCGGTGCTGCGGTCCCTGCACCACGACAACGTGCTGCGCTTCATCGGGGTGCTGTACCGGGACAAGCGGCTGCACCTGGTCACGGAGTACGTGAGCGGGGGCTCCCTCCGGGCCCTGCTGCACGACTCCTCCGAGCCCCTGCCCTGGGAGCAGAGGGTCGGCCTGGCCAGGGACATTGCCGCCGGCATGGTGCGCCCCCGCCTCTCAGCCCTCTCTGTTACAAGGAACCTCTCTACAGTGATGTGATTGCTGCGCCAAGGGGCTAACCCTGCTACATCCTGCTACATTTCGCCAAAATATGGGTAATCTGCGCCAAGCCTGCGCCAAAGGACCAATTTTGGTTGCCTTTCAAAACCGAAACTAAACTGAGTACCGTAACTGAGTATGCGTGCCAGGTAGCGCAGGCGGCCACCCGACACAAAGTACTCTCCATCAATCGTGACATTGTAACCCTGGAGCCAGGGAAAAGAAGGGATGTAGGACAGGCAAAAAACTCCAATCTCAGTATTGAACCAGCTTGCCTGCACCCTTGCTTTAGTTACATCAATCGCCCATCCGGTCTCGCCTGGTTTTTCCCGCTGTCTCTTCTTTCGCGCTCTGGTCGTCTCGTAAATGTCGTCTCGCATTTTTTTTTTTTAAATTTTTACGGTAGATGCGGGCGTGTGCGGACGCTCCGACGCTAACGTGCTGGGTACCAGCCATGCCGTCGCACTGAAACGAAATTAAGTTTTTGCGCGGCGGGAGTTACTTTTTGAGCTGAAGCCCTCGCTTCTGCAAGCAACGGCCGTGGGAAAACTATATCTGGTCCTGCCTACCAGTCCGCACGTTGCTACAGATATGGAGCTTCCTAAACTGAAACATAAGGACCGCCGCATGTTCATCAACATTCCTGTTCTTGTTTAAGGGAGGAGGTGGGGAATAAATATGAAATTTCTTATTTCTAGAGGTATCTGAACGAAATTTACAGAATGTGTTTATAGCACAGACATAAGAGTAACTGCAAAGTTTCATGGAGCTGTGCATATTATTTCTCAAGTTACAAGTATTTATCAAAATCGTCCATATGCATTCCTTATCCCAGGTCTGGAGAATTTGAAAAAGGTAGTAGCGGCGTAAAATTTGTTATGATGACCCCTGGATACATTCCCCAGGGCATAACAGAGCCCTTTTTTTAAATTTCTTTGTTGAAAAATTTTCACGCAACTTTGAATTTTGTGTAGTCAATGAAACCCACATTCACCAAATTTCATTTTTTTATTATAAATTTTTAGTACAGTTTTCTAAAAAAAAGGGCTCTGTTATGCCCTCACAAAGTTATTAGAGAACAGAATAAAAAAGACAGCACAAAAATCCATTCATCAGTTCCTGAGATATCGCTGGGACGAGCAGCCACGACAGTGAAAAAATCCATTCTGAGAAAACGGCACTTGAAAGTTGCACGCAGATTTTCAGCTTTAGAATGACCCTGGCAGAATAGTCAGAAGTGTTCTTGCGCACTTTCTTCTTGTTCCGCCTTTCCAAATTCTCTTGATGTCGTTTGCTGGCCTTGTGCAGACGTAGGGCATCTTTCTCGGCAGCTCGTTGGAGGGCTAGATGGGTCGGCTGAAGTCCCACTGCAACCAATATTTCTGCAGTTGCCTTGTAGCAGCCGGCGTTGAACCTCAACACCGCTTCATGCAGTGCAGTTTGCTGGCATAGCTCCAAGTTCGGCTTGAGCAATATCACAATGTCTAGCTTCTGCTTCGATCTCCTCACGTGTCAGGAAATGCGTCCGCAGATGGGTGCTAGAAGACGCGCTCCTACTTGTCGCGGCAGGCAGAAGACGGGCGCTGGGACCCGCGATCTCGGGAGGAACCACAACGGTCGGCATGCTCGGTACTCCTGGCGTGAGCGGGGCGATGCGTTCTTCCTCGACGACAGCCGATGGCACAGAAAATCCATCACTGGAAGTGTTGACGCAATCATCATTGACGGCACGCCGTGCAGAAACTTCCAACTTCGCCATCCGCACTAACTTCATGGACCGCTTCCGCGCGCCAAACGCGTGCACCGTCTTGTACTTCGAACCCCGCATCGTGTGCGACCACGAAACAGACGGGCACGCTACACGAAACTACTCAAAGAAAGTTCGGAAAACGATCGTAAAGATGGCGAAAAACGAAGTGGAGCTGACAAAGCAAGAGCGCGTGCAAGCAGACCACTACCAAAAGCAGACGACGCAAGCGGCAACAGCAGGAGAAACGGAGGAGGAGAGCGCTCCGCGCGCGGAGAAATCGCGTCCCAGCCAATAGCAGTCGCGCGCTCCCCCGCACGCTCCTCGAGCGCGCGCTCTCTCCAATCGCATTCTTGCGATTGCGACATGGAAGAACGGCGACCACGCCGTAACCACGCGGCCGACGCCATTTTAGGAGCTGGCAAAAAAAGAGAAAGAATTCACGTTCAAAACAAGACTAAGATGGCGGCCGTCGGCCCAACGCGTCGAAAATGGCGAGCGCGCGAAGTTGGGGTTGATTTTGACGTTTGACCGTCACTTGGATGCTATTCAGGCCTCGTAAATAATTGTTTTTAAATATTTCCCCGTTGTATTTGGTGCTGATAATTACAGAGAAGGTAGTTTATGAGATATACAACCGAAAAATAAGGTTTTCTAGAAATCGTCTTTTTCGCGATTTTCCGGTTTTCAAAGCCCGCGTCCCCCCTTAAAACATACGCTACTACAAAAAATCCCTCATTAGTTCGAAGACTGCTCTGTCTAAGTATTGATTACCTAGGTTTCTTTTGGTTGGCTTTCTTTCGAGAGGGACCCCGGTACATGAAAAATCTGTCGCGCAAGAAAGTTGGTGAAGAGAAGTGAGCTAAAGCAAATAAGGCAATGTCTGCAGGCTGAACCCGCACAGCGCGCTTGTTTGTCTCGAGTTCAGTCGTTGCACAAAAGGCTCCAAGAACTTTTTGACCCTGACTCGCAATGTCCTGCATCAATGCGCTCAAATTCTTTTTTTTTTTTTTTTTTGTATGTTTAGCTTGTACCTTGCCTGCCGGCCTTGCAAGCACGCGCCGCTGAACTATTTTTTGTTGCATGCTGGGCAGTTACATTTTACATACATTTTTGGAGACCAGTTGGCGACGGAGCAAAGAGGCATGGTTTCGGTTTCGATCGAACAGCCGTGTCCGCTCGCGCGACGAAGCATGTGCAGCTGCAAGCCTGCTGAAGTTGCCCTGACGTGCATGCGAACATGATTGCACGACAGAGGCACCAGCCGGGACGCTTGCAATCCACTGTTTTACATTTACTTTTGACGAAAGTCTGGCACGTCGGGAAATAGTAAAACGGTGGCAAGCGGTTTCTTAAAATTGCTCGGCACGCGTACAGCACTGTACACTTACGGGATGTCTCAATTTCTCTTTGGAGACATTGAAAGTGGACATTCATTACTAGCCTAAGCCAAAGCGAAGCTTGCAGCAACTTTGCAGAAAGTTTCGAAAAGCAAAAAGTACCCAAAAGTTATAATGCACCTTTTTCTTGTGTGCATTTTCGCATTGCACTGCAGTAGCTATGTGTTTCATCAGTCGGGGACTGCTTCCATTTATTATATTATATCACTAGTCAACCTAATGCTGCGATATTTACTACTAAGCTGGTCATTTTCAAATAATTTTTAATATCTGAAGTTTAGTTTTCAAATAAATTTGAATATGTGAAGTCTGGTTCTTATATATCTATTGTGGGTACATATATAGGTATCATTTAACTGAAGCATTGCAAAATCTGTCATGTCATTGACATTTCAGTTGCATCTTGAAAGACTCCTAGGTGGTCGAACTTGACTATAATTCGTTTATTTCAGCGAGCAAAGTGCCCTTCGTTTGTCCAGCACGTAAAACGAATGTTTTTATTTTTCTAAGAATATCTGCTTCGAAAGCCATTTTTGGTGCTCCGAAACACTGTTTTGGCTGCTCCAAAAGCCACTTTTGCTGCTCCAAAACGCTGGCTCCGATAGGTGCTCCAAAACGGCTTAGGCCAATCACATCACTGCTCTCTAGGGGCCGGGATCCCCGACAAAACTGTCGCCCGACGTCATGAAAAAACCATTGTGTCGCGAAAAACTGCCGTTAAAAACAGTCGCATACCCGCGAAATTCGGCGGGACGCAATTTAGCAGATGGTGCGCACGCGACGTTGAGTGACACTAACATCACGTGACCTGGCATCCAACATTCTTGGTTCCATCAGTTGACAACGTCCACAGAGAGCGGCGTTCAAAAGCGGTTTTTGAGCGACGCCCCTTTTTGTGCGATATTAACGTTTATCACGGACACCACAATAAAATCACTTTCCACCGCGGGCAATATGTATCGGTGTTTCGTCGGGCGGGGCGAGATAGCGTAGTGAGCGCCGCCGAGCGGACGCGCCATGGAAAGACGCCGGGCGTTTTAGGAAGCTTGTCAACTGACTTTGATCTAGTAACGTTGCTGACACTGTGTCTTGGTATGGTCAGGTGGTATAATGTCAGTCACGTAGCGCCATTACTGGACACCGTGACTGTGTCGCATGGCACTGCATCACGTGACACTGTGTTTGTGTCATGCTAACCCAGTGCAGCTGAAAATGTGCTTCAGGTTCTGTGTCTCCAGTCTTTTTCTGCAAGATTAAGATACGCTGATATTTTTTAACGCAGAATGTGTAGTATGGCTGGCTTTTAGCCTCTTCCTGCAATGCATTCCCGTAATGGGACAGCACCGCACGTGTCCTGCATCGGAGCTTGACTGGAACTCATGATCTCACAATTCGAGTGCGTGATGTGTCTGGGTTCGGCATACATAGGCTGCTTCCTGTTGCTTGTCTCGCAATACATTCCTGAATTTTGTGCCTAATGGCGGGTGAATCTGTTTCGTTGCAGTGTTATCTGCATTCCATGAACATCATTCACAGGGACCTAAATTCGCACAACTGCCTGGTTAAGGAGGTAAGCTTGCTTGTATTAAACTGCCATGCCTTATTTCCTCATTGTGGACTTGGTACTCTATGTTTTGTGTCTGCCTATCCTCCTAAACTAAGCTTGGTTTCTGGAGATAAGATCTGTTTACTGGCACTTTATATGTTTCACCATCTAGGTCTCTAAGCAGCTTCTGCTCTGCTTACAGTACTAGAACACTTTCAAAGACTTCATTTTCCTGGTTTAAAAAATATTACAAAAAATGTATCGCTGGGAATACATGTTACTTCATGGTGACGAGTGCATAGCATTCCACTCCCATTTGAGAAATTCTGTGCCAATGATATGTTTCCTGAACCCACACTGCAAAATTTTTAACACAATAAGCCTGCAGAAATTTTTTTTTCTTTTACTATTTCTCTTTACTTGCGATGAGCAGTCTATTTAAACTTAAGGTCAACCTTCTGTAGAGAATGGATGTCTGTTCTCACAATGAACTGCTTAAACCCTTTGAAGGCCGTACATTGGAAAAAAAACCATGTATTTTTGCACACGTCAGGCATGGCAGCACACTTAAGAAAGCCTAATAAAAAACAAATTTGTTCTTTTTAAACCACTGAGTCCAATGAACAACAAAAATAACGTGTGCGACACTTTTTTCATTTTCAAGTAAATAAAAGTAGCAAAATTGCCTTTTCAAGGGGCTAAGAAATGTTTCTGAAACTTTAAATATAAAAAACATATATATTCCAACTAAACCTATAAATAGTTGCATTCTACTCATTCTAAAGTATATACATGCCAAATTTGGTTGTGATATGACAATATTAAGAACAAAAATTCTTGTGCACAAAGTTGGAAGACGCTTCAAAATTACATAAAAAGAGAAACACATCTGAATGTTACCATAGATGTGTAGCAGTGCTCTTTCGCAGTGCAGAAAATAATATTTTTCATAATAAATATCCGTGAGAAATTAAAGCTACAGAAGACCTCGGTGGAGAGGATACGGCTAGGCCTACTTGTCAACGTAAAAGTTATGGTGGGCGACGTCGCACCTTGAGGAACCACGCGGAGAAAAATGGCTCAAATTTATGCCGTTCTGGGTTGCCTGGAGGTCTTCAAATGCGTATTTGACTATTTTCGTTATTATAACCAGCACTAATGATTTTTACACATCAAATATAAAGATTAAAAAGTATTAAAACATCATAAAAAACAAAATCTATATTTTTTGGGGGGAAGTATTGTCGGTTTTAAGAGCTATTTATCGGCAATGCTTTCAACGAGTCAACATTGGGGAACAATATTCTGTTAGTAAGAAAATATGAACAGGAGTGCCACAGAGATCTGTGCTATGACCAATTCTTTTTTCTACATACCGTAATATCCCTAGTCATCCCCATCCCACTTTTTAGGCCAATATAGATTTCCAAAAAAACACCGAGTCATCATCCACCGCCTCAAACACTCCAACGCTGGCTCCGCGATCATTCATTCTACCCCTATTCGAATGATGCGGTCTCCGCTGACCTTACAGTTGGAGAATGTCCATGACACAGTAAAATAAAGGAGGGAATGACACTTTTCTTTGTTTATAAATTTCCTCCGCGAGCAACCTGGAAGTTTCAGTATATTCCTGCGAAAAGAAAACAATGGAGATAACAAAATAAAAGTTTGTTTTGCTTACAAAAAAATCGTTCCGATAAAAAAAAAAAAAATCGGAAAGAGAACACAAGGAGTAACCTGTTCAGGGATCGCGATGTATATCCTGAAATGTAACCGCAGAGTGTAAGGTCAAATTCTGTCTCCGCCGAAGTAAAGGGGTGTCCAAACAGGATATAGTTCAGCCCACTTTTAACGAACGCCGCAGGAATCTAAAATTGGTTCGCTATATCCATTTTTCGCTATATGTGAATTTCGAAGAAAAAGCGAGAAATTAGCTGCTTCAGCATGCTATTTTACTGCTCTCCAGAATAGTCGTCGATTTGCGACTGTACGCACCGCGTAAGGACGTCTTCATGATCGCCTGCTTGATTGCGTCGAAGTGCGGGAAAAGGTTTTGTCCAAGTCCGACCCGCTCGGCATCACTGAAGTAGTCTCGGAGGGTCTGCGCCGCGGCGAAAGCCGTTCCGGCGGACACCGACTTCTTTGCAGAGTTGTCGTCACTCTCGTCACTTTCGCTACCTGCCTCCGCATTGACGGGGCCAGAGTTCGCGAGGGCCTCATCGCGAGGGCTTCATCAGAGGAGACGCTCGACAACCCTGAGACGTGAATGGACCTTTAAGTTGGCAGTAACGCCCTGGTTCATCGGCTGAAGCTTGGCCGTGGTGTTCGGCGCAAGAAGAGGATTTCCACCGCATTAAGCAACAGATTGATTTGATGCACGCCATGCGCGCTACAGTTATCTAGCAGAAGCAGCACTTTCCGTTTTTTGCGCGCCATGTCATCGTCAAAGTCGGTCACGGTCGGCAGCAGTAGGTTCAGTCAGGTAGGGTTTTGTGTAATCTGTGTACTTTCGCAACGAGGCTTTGACTTTCGTGTAGGTTCGCCAGATCGGCCAGATGGCGAAACGGAGGAGAAAAAACGCGGAGCGGACGGGAACGGTTGAAAGCCCGAAATATCTTGCACGACGTGTGCAACGGTGCACGTCACGCATACTGCGGAGAAGACAACTTACGGAACTGCGCAAATTCCTCCCTTGCTCGGACGAAGCGTGGCGGCCAATGAATACTGAGCTTTATGGCGAATTCAATCCTTATTAGTGTGTTATACTTGGCTGGTTAGATGCTGATCTTGCTACCTTTTCAAATTAGTCATTTAATATCAATACTTGGCTGACAAAATAATTTGATTCATTGTTCTAGGCACTGCTAGGACTGAGCGATGTTACAGGAGCTTTTGGCCCGACCGATGGAGGGTATGGCGTGAATGAAGGCTACGTTTGAGAGCGTCACAAAATCAACACGACATCTGTCACAACACACACGGCATGCAACAAGTGCCACGGAGAAACTCACTTGTAATTCCAAATTCCTCTTCTATAATTTCCTAGTGGTTGTTCTTAGCGTCTTTATCTAGGTAGTCTGGCTGTGTCATGTCATATAAAAAGGGTAACAGTCGCACAGTTTCGAGGAATTGCTTCATTGGGAAAGGCATTGGGGGAAATGGGGATAGCAAACGAAACAAAACAATGCTACATTCCTTCGGAACGTGAGAGACGCGCGGAGAACCGGCTTGCGCGTTGCCATGGCATTGCAACGTCACTATCTACGCCTCCTCCCATTGGCTCCTCTCTTCTGTGGCGAGGAGTGGCGAGCTCTGAACCGTGCAAGACCGGTTGGCTTGGCAGCGCTGTCCGTCATATTGCCAAAGGCGGAAACTGGTTTTGGTCGGCAGCCCGCGGCGGCCAGCGTCGTGTGGCAAGCATCTGCGACGCCAGTGTGGTCGTGTCTCTAGACGTCACCCGATTGGTGTCTGGAAGTCGTCCTCAAGGTCATTCTAGAGGTCGTCCTAGAAGTCATTGAGGTCATCCTAGAGGTCGTCCTAGAAGTCATTGAGGTCATCCTAGAAGTCGTCCTCAAACTCCTAGGCGTCATCCTCAAGGTCGTCCTAGGTGTCGTCCTAGAAGTCGTCCTTGAGGTCGTCCTAAAAGTCATCCTTGAGGTTATCCTTGAGGTCATCCTAGATGTTGTCCTGTAGGCGTTGTCTTTGAGGTCGTCCTAGAAGTCGTCCTTGAGGTTGTCCTAGGCGTCGTAAAAATAACAACTTTGCTGGTCCTCCATCTTCACATAAAGTGGAAGGGCTCTTCAATTTTTTTTATCTGGAACTTGCACATTGAAACAGTATGTAAAGAACTAGCATATTTGGTCTACACTTAAAACCAGACAGTATTTTTATTGCTAACTCTTAAGATCGATCTAGTACTACAGCATTTTTGATAGTCACCTTCAATGTGGTGTGAAATCTTGGGGGTTCACACACAAAAGTTGTTTTGCAGCCGGTAATGATGCTTCAAAAGCGAGCATTGAGGATAATATCATTTCCAAGTTATAACTCGTTGAACCTCATTATTTCAAAAACAAGTAATGCCATTAAATATACTAAGAGACTACAAAACAGTTATTCCAGTGCATAATATTATAATAAAACTCCAGGCCATCAAATATATTACAATGAGCTACTCATACGAAATGCTTTTATGAATTATTTCAATAATCTGGCGTATAGGTATGCATGTGGTCAACGCTTAATGCAGCACAGTGGTACAATGCTTTGGAACTCATTAGGCCCCCCCAAGAAAAAGCCAACCACTGGGGCAGGTTTTTTTGGGGGAAAAAAACTCCCGACTGCGTAAGGGTTAAAGGCACGGTAAATGTACCAGCCGGAGACACGTCCCGGCCACCCTGGCTGGGAGGATTGACCGGCAAGGAATGTGGTTGCAGGACCGAACGGCAGTGGTGGCAGACTTTGGCCTGGCCCGCATCATGAGTGACCAGCCGGGCCAGCCATCGGGGGGACGGCGGTATGCGCCGGGCAACGCCAAGCGCAGCCCGGTGGCCGCGGGGGTGCCCAAGAAGCAGGAGCGCAAGAAGCGCTACACGGTGGTGGGCAACCCCTACTGGATGGCCCCCGAGATGATGACGGGCAAGAAGTATGACGAGAAGGTGGACATCTTCTCCTTCGGCATCGTCCTCTGCGAGGTGGGCTCACGTCTTTAGAGTTTGAATGCCATTGGATTGGAAAAACCCTATGTGTCGTAAAACGGCTAAGAGGGCCGTGCCGCTACGACGACCGTGTTGCTGCGCCGCTTTGATTGCTTTCGTGGCGGCAAGTCGCCATAAAGGCTATTATGCTCTTATGCATGCCATTGTTATAGCGTAGCCCTCGGCTGTGCCACTATGATAACTGTGCGAGTATAGTGGTTGGGCCTCTATGATGGTTGTGGCACTATGATAGTCGTGCCACTATGATGGTTGTGTCACTATGATGGGTGTGCCACTGAGATGGCTGTGATGCGATGCTTCTACGATGGCTTTCATAGCAGCAAGTCGCTACAAAAGCTGTGCTCCATACGTGCCATCACGGCTGTACAGTCCTAGTTATGCTATTGTAGTGGCTGTGTGTTGCTGCATTGCTTTGATTGCTATTGCAGCAGGAAGTCGCTATGAAGGCTGTGCTCCTCTGCATGCCATTATAATAGCATAGCCCTGGGCGTTGCCCCTATGATGGCTGTTTGAGTATAATGACTGGGCCTCTATGGTAATTGCACCACTACAGTCGAACCCGGATATATTGAATTCGTAGGTGATTGAAAAATAGTTATATATATATCAATAATTTGATTTACAAAAATATGTTAAATTAAGCTCGAGTTGAAATTTCATGGCGTCTCTGCTAATAAATACCGAAGGTCGCGACGACGGGAGCTTACCAAATTGAGCATCCAAGAGCCACTAAATACAGTAGAGCGTATTTGGCTGAGACCGCAAACACCACCGCGCTTACACGCGTGCCTAGCCTGGACCCCTCCACACAGCATAAGTGGCAAAACATGAAAATAATAAGTTAAAAAAAACAAAGAAAAAACTGAAAAGCTAGACACATAAAAAAAATCTTTTGATCCATAGAAAAAAAGTTAAGCAAGCAACAAAATTAGAACACTCACTAAATTCAAACAGCAAAAAAAAAAAAAAAAAAAAAATGGAACCAAAGCAATAATTGCAAAAGAAAAAGGTCAATAAAGATCAGGCGTTTAAAGTGCGATTGCACAAGCCGTGTTGTGGACACACTCCACTTGCTGACTTATTTTGGCTTATTTTATTTTGGGGCTAGGGAGTCGCGCAACATCAACAGTGTTCAGGGAAAGGGCGCAGGCTACCGTTCCCACGGTGGGCACTCCCTGCTCTCCCTACAAGTGCGTGCGTGCCTTTCCCCTTGCTTTTGCTGTCCTCCACCTTCTTTTTTTTTGCCGGTTCATTATTTCCCTTTTCCACAACTGCTCGTCTGCTGCGTATCTCCTGGCATTTATACTCGCTTGGTGGTCTGCCTGCCCCGTAAGGCAAGCAATGTGCGCGCTACCGGCCACTGCTACGCAATACTGCTAGGATGACTTCATAGGAGCAAGCCGCTATAAAAGCTGTGCTTCATACATGCCATCACGGCGGTACAGTCCTAGCTATGCTATTCTAATGGCTGTGTTTCTGCTTTGCATTGCTTGCTATCGCAGCAAAAAGTCGCTATGGAGGCCGTTCTCCTATGCATGCCATCTTAGTGGCACAGCCCTCGTAGCTGTGCCACTATGATGACTATGGCTGTGCCACCATGATGGGTGTGCCACTATGGTGGCTCTGATGCAATGCTGCTATTATGATGGCTTTCATAGCAGCAAGTAACAGTGGAAGCTGTGCTTTTTACGTGCCCTCACGGTGGTTCAGTCCTGGCTATGCTGTAATGATGACTGTGATGCTGTGCCGCTATGGTGGCTTTTACAGTGGAACCCTGAAAATACTCGACTTTCACAAGACGGCTCGAAAATGTTGTATGTAATCCGCGACTCATACATTTCGAATAACCTGAGAAACAATGAAAATCTTCGGTCCTCGGCTCGTTTTACAGAAATATGCGGAACTCCTAAAATTACTCCTATGCTATTAATATGCCGGGCTACAACAGAAATAAAGCTATGACAGCAAATTCAGCACGAAAGTAAAGGGAAAGAAAGGAATGCAAGCACATGTTCGTGTCCTCCTTGTCCTCGTTTTTTGTGCTGAATTTGCTGTCATGGACTGCCAACCAACCCAGTTATCAGCCCTAGTAAAAAATAAAGCCTTCAAATAAATTAAAGCTAATATCAAAGTGTGCTGCACGGTGTAAGGCTGAGCTCCATGGAGCGAACATGTGGCGAAGAACCGAGGAACTTTGCCTGGTGGCGCGTTCGCTTTGCGCAATGGCCACTCTTGTGACACCATGTGCAGAGCGAACGTGGCTGGGCGATATTTGTTGCTTTTTTCACTTTGGAGGCGTTCAACTTTTATCCCAGTTTCTCATGCGTGCTACCAGATGTCGCCACGGTCGTCGAGGCCTTCAGTATGAAAGTTATGCATGCACCAAGAAAAGCGCTTTATGCAGTTTAGGCTGGTGCTGATCTGGCAGTCCAGCTAGTTTAGAAGCCAGAAAATTATACGCTCGAGACGTCCTCAAGGCACCCGCGAAAAAGAGAAACTGAAATCGCTTTTTGTACAATCCTTGCTTTACAAAAACGTTCCAGAAACCGGGACTCATGATTAAAAAGCAAATACCTCTGACTTATATAACAATATCAACAATTTAAAAGTAGCCGTTTCGTCTTCTATATGGGAGACATCATCAGTGCAGCCTAAGAACAACCCGACTAGCTACTAGCAACCAAACGCTTGCTTTGCCCTTCTCTTCATTCGTAGCACTGGTTCCAACAACTTCTTCGTCCATGGCAAGCGGGAGACATCATCGTAGACCCTTTCCGGAATTCAGTGCCACCTGGTGACTCAAATGGCAGTTTAACCTTTACCGTAATACTGGTGGCAATGAACCTGAGGTCTGCAGTATCTTATGGGGCACCGTCACTTTCGCAAGTCAACGGTAAACGAAAACGCACGCTTCACTGTACAGTTCTTTTTCAATCTCTCTCAGTGTTGATGGCGAAAAGGATGTAACCAGTCAGAACAAAGCGCCAGCCCACATAGAGAGCCTCAATAAAATTCTATACATCAAGGGGTTTGAAGCAGAGTGTGTGCTACTAACAGATGGAGTGGGCCCGAGTTAGAAATAAATGCTTACGCAGCTCTTGCAGCCAATTCCTGCTTCACGCCGCGCTGATGTCTAAAATGTATAGGCATCGAATCATCTGCTTAGGAGTATCTTCAACTTCTTCCTTCATCACTAAACAGAAGGCCGCCATTAATACTGTAAAACCCTTAATGTTTGCGAGCCCTTAATTTTCGCGAATTTCGCAAATTAAAATATTCGCGGAATTTAAGGGCACGCGAAAATTTTGATCCTTAAGAGTTTCAATGAGGGCGTCTGCAATTCGCGAAATTTAGTGGCGGCGAATGTGTACTCTGTGACCGATTCGCGAAAAATAGGGGCTGCGAAAATAAAGGGTTTTACAGTATAGCACATTTGCCATTTTTCAGATGATTATGGTGATCAAAGTTGCCAGACTGAATTCCGGAAGGGGTCTATTATGGCCCTTGTTTCAACTTCTTTTTCGTCCATAGTACCGTAAAAACTTGCATATAATACAAACCTGCATTAATACAAAGCCAATTTGAGGACAACGAAAAAAAAAAAAAATTGTATTTGCATATAATACGAAACAATTTAAGAACCATGAAAAATTTTCGCATAAAATACGACCCAGGAAGATTTAAGAAAAATTTTTATTTGCGTCGTAATTGGCCCTTAATCACTGTCTTCACATCCATCTGACTTCTTGTCTGACGCCTCCTCCCAAAGGCAGTCGTTTTCAGTGCCGTCGAGTGCATTAGAAATCCCGCACTTCTAGAAAGAGCAAGCGACGAATGTGCGTCAACGCAGTGAAAACTTGGTGCAGCGCATAAAGCGAGAAACCCAAGGTCGGCTTGCCAAAGTTCTCTTGCAGCAGCTCAATGTTTACGGCGAGGTGCTGTTCACGTTGCTCTTTTACACCATTTTTTGGGCCTTGAAAGCTTCTTCTCGTTCCGTTGCATGCGAACAGAGCTTGCTTTTGTCGTCTCTATCCGCGGATGCTCCCTTCATTTATGGCAAATTGTTGTCCGGCAGCACTGTTGCCGATGTCTTCCGTAACCAAAACAACTTTTCTTTTGAAGGCGGCCTAGCAGTGGCGTACCAACTTGTTTTTGAGGGGGGGGGGGGGGGCAAACCAGACCCTCTCCCCTCCAAGGCCGGGGGCGGTGCCCTTGGTATCCCTTGAGCGCCGCCGGCTAGTGTTTGCCCTGCTCAGTGGTGGCGGTTTCAGAGGGAGAGAAGGGGGGGGGGGGGTGCAAAACACATGCCTTGCCCCCCACTCTGAGAACTGGGGGGGCAAGCGCCCCCTTGCCCCCCCGGTTGGTACATCCATGCGGCCTAGTGTAGTTTTCGCGCCGACACCATTGCCTAGTCTGACTGTGGACGGACGGTGGCGCCTCGGACATTGTGATTTTAATGATAATGATAGCTGTTTTGAATGCCATATTGCTTCGAAACCGAAACTACGTCAAACGGCGTTAGATCGCGCCTCAACGAAGCTGAAAATTGTTGGGACCCGTGTATAATACGAGCCGCAAATTTTACATGGCAAAATTTGAAAAATAAACGCTCGTATTATATGCAGGTTTTTACGGTAGATGTGATGTTAAATGAAAAGTTATTTCAGGATGTCAGTGTGCACGTCGGGGGCGGGGCGTGGGCGTGGTTAGAATTATAGGCGGATGGGTCGCTCGAATACACCATGATTCCAGAAATCTTCTGGGGCCCCACCATCGTTCACGTGCCAGGGTCACAGCGCTCGTGAGGTCAGAAGTGTGACCAGTCAGCCAACAATGGTCCACCTGTCCAGTTTTTGATCTTGTGGCATATGTTGCCTTTTCCGCATCTCTTCTGTGCTCTTTGAGGCGGGTACTCCGTTTTTGGCCGGTTTCTCCGATGTAACTCTTGTCACAGTCCTCACAGTTCACTATGTACATACCACTTTGCAACTCAGGAGGGGTCCCAGGCGAAAAGTTTCAACTGGGACCAGTTGGTCCCAGTTGCAACTGGTTTATGGAACAATTCCCAGTTGCAACTGGTCCCAGTTGGAGTCGTTCAACTGGTCCCAGTTGGAGTTGGTCCCAGTTACAACTGGTCCCAGTTGGAGCTGGTACCAACTCCAGCAACAATGAAACTCGGCACAAAATGGAAGGTTGACAAGACTTTATTGTCAAAAACTTGGAGAATGAAACTAAATAGGTTCGGTGACGCACACGCTCCGGGTTTAGCCACTTGCTTGCGACGGTTGAATCGCTTTTTCAGAGGTGGTATTCATGAGATGAAGGAAGATCGGCCGCTGGCGTCTGTTAGTGAAGACGTCCTCAGCTTCTCTTCCCATCGCGTGAAGAAAGGTGCTCACCCGTGATGCCGCGTTGCGCAGGTGAAGTCCTGATAAGATGCAGTAGCGCTCCCACCGTGTAATCTCTGTCACAACAGTCTAACATTTTCGAGGTAGGCCTCCCGCCATTTTCGCCATTGTGTTCTCCGCGGCGTGTTCTCTTCCGTCCGGTCTTTGCTGGGTGCCCTCCAATCGCTGAACTGCATCTTTCCATCCTCGAAGTTCACCGCCGCCACCATGATGTGTGTACAGTTAGGTCCAAAGAAGCGCAGCTGTAGTTTTGACATTTTCATAACGACACCAACTTGGGCGATGGCGACGCTTCTCTTCTGCGTCCGTCCGACTCCGGCGTCCCCGGCGTCAGCATAGGCAGCGCCATCTGTCGACAGCGCGTACCACTAATTCGCACCCGCGTGCCACGGCGGCCGACTAGCTCTGATTAGCCAAAAGATAAATTTATTTATTAAAAAAAAAAATACTGTAGGTATTTAAATAAATGTTTTAATATATTTTAATAATGCACTAAATGTTCATTTAGGTGAACACATTTTGTCACTAATTATATTTTCCAATTAAAAAATTATTTAGTTAATTAAAATTTTTATATTATTTTTATAAATATATAAATGTACCCCAGTAATTAAAAATTCCCTATTTGTATAAATCTAAAAATGTTAGTGTTTTTCGTTTTCTTCATTAGCAAAGGTCAATACACCCCCAACTTGTCCAAATTGTTGCCCCGTGTGAACTGGGAACGGGAAAGACATTTGAAGTTCGACTGGGAACCGCTCCAACCAGTTACATTCCTAACTGGTCCCAGTTCACTCCATTCCCAACTGGGAGTCAAACCAGTTGACTCCCAACTGGGAATGGTTCAAACCAGTTGACTCCCAACTGGGAATGGTTCAAACCAGTTGACTCCCAACTGGGAATGGTTCAAACCAGTTGACCCTTCAGCTGGCCCCAGTTGGACTCCTATTGGTCCCAGTGGGGACCAGTTAGTCCCAGTTGCTTCCCAGTTGGGACCAGTTAGTCCCAGTTGAAACCAGTTGAGGTGCCAACTGGTCCCAGTTAGAAATTTTCGCCTGGGGTGGCATCCTTTGGCTTAGAAATGAGGTCACATAATTTTATATGGTGTTTGAAAGTTGTTTGTATACCTAATATGAGGAGGGACCGGCAAATAGACTCTGAGGCACCTTTTACATAAGGGATGGTCACCACACCTACTTTGTAATTATTAGTCGCTTTTGTTCTTCCTTGCCGCATCTGTCTGTGCGTGTTTTTAATAAAACACGCACAAACCTGGGTGGGGCCCCAGAAGATATCTGGAATCATGGTGTATTTGAGCGACCCATCCGCCTGTAATTCTAACCGCGGCCCCCTCCCCGACGTGCACACTGCGATCCTGAAATAACTTTTCATTTAACATCACATCTACTACAAACAAAAAGGTCTTTCCACTTTGGTGAAGAGCATCGGAGGTGTACTATGTGTCGCTGTCGCTCATAGATGGTAGCTGTCCAGAGCATTGTTGAGATTTTTTCTCCACGAACACAAAAATGGACAAACTAACCCTTGCCAACTCTGCTAAAAAAGTCACGTGCGTGCGTAAAAAAAATTTTTTTGCATTGCGTTTTTCTGTTATTTTTATATGATTACAACTTTGATTGTTTTAGACAATAAAAATAAATATGACCTTTGGGGTGTCAGTGTACTTTAAGACTACTTGTAATTGTGAATTTGGAGTGGCTTACTCAAAGTGGAGTGGCCAATGGAAAAGGCTGCCTTGAATTAGCAGAGGCCACGGTTTTGTTTGTTTGCAATACGACTAAACTTGCTATGTTTTTATCAGTATGTAAAATCTTGAAATGCTTGTGCTGCGCACTTCTCTGAAGAACTGCCACATATAGTGGAAAAATAATGTGCTGTTTTTTTTTTGTTTTTTTTTTATTCTAGTAGCTAGTTGTGTGCCACTAGGATAAAAACATTATTATTTACCTTATTGTTTCTTAATGTAGCATTAGATGGGATGCAGTGGCGATTCTTAGTAGTATGTCAAGATGAGGAAAAGGAGCTTCCTCCTAATAAAAAGTTGTTTTGCAATATTAAAAAAAGTGTGGAGCCTGAGCTTCCAATTAAAAGAAGAAGACGGTTTAGAAAGTTGCTTCCTCGCGACGTTTCATTCGTTGGCGTTTTGACCGCCGCAGATCATTGGCCGGGTGCAAGCGGATCCGGACTATTTGCCGAGGAGCAACGATTTTGGGCTCAACACGGTGGTGTTCAAGGAGAAGTTTTGTGGCAGCTGCCCAGAGCCATTCTACCTCATCGCCTTCCTCTGCTGCGACATTGACCCGGAGAAAAGGTGATTGCAGGCATGAAACCCAAGACGGTGGTATCAGCCATGCATCCCGCAGAGCTGTTTGCGTTACGTGTTCCACCCTTTGGTAGTGGAGACATAGGTTACATTCTGGGGGGGCCTAAATGTGTTTACTGACAATATTTCCGACAACGTTTGATATTAAGCTTTCCTGCTGCACCGGCGACACAAGAGTTTCTCTACCATAGTTGTTGTTATGGGCGTCACAAAGTAATGCTTCAAATATATGTCTTAAAATTATATGGGCATGTAAACACTCTCTTAGACAGATGTTTATTTATTTATTTATTTATTTTCTGATGCTGCGCTTGGTGCACATACAGTAGAAACGAAAGGCATCTAAAGATTCAGTAGGAACTGCAAAAGCTCTTTTAGGAGTAATTAAGTCATCTGAGTAGCTAAACTCGTGGAGAAAAATATTCTTCGCTTTTTGACGTAGCGGGAGGAGTGACCAAAAGAACGCCGCAAAGTTTCCTCCTCCCTGCACGCGCTCAACTTCGCAACTTTTGACAAAAAATCCCCCGCGATCCCTAGGCGGTGCACGAGAGCACGAGACAGCGCGGGGAGGCGAGCATGCACGCCGCTTGCTGTACGTTGTCTTTGAGCTCTCTAGTGCCGACAATCTCGTCATGCCTCGCCCATGCGAAAAGCGAAAGCAGACGACGAGAGTTTGTCTGCTACGATGTGGCATTCGCACAGCAGAACCGAAAGAAAAAGTTGGTTTTCTGCTCGAAATCGCGTCCCGCGGGCCACAAACCCAAACGCGAGCTTGAATTGTAAGCGTCTGATATTTCACTAAGGGAGGAATTGAGGACCCGTATTTTATTTGCAAAATTTGAGTCGCTTTGTTGCCGTACAGACGCTGAAACCTACCAGTGAATGAAAGGCCCAGGACAACCACAGAGACCACGAGATCTAGCATCATTTGTGTGCGGGTGAAAAGTGGAACATTTTTCGACAAAGTTCCCACAGCAGAAACCTGTGACACATTCACTCGGCGTCCGGGAAGGCTAAACATGGAGACGTTGCCCGAGGCTCACGCAAAGTCATATTTAAACGGGAGCTATCTTGCCCCGTCGTATTTTGTTTGAGAAAGCTCTCGTTCTCAATGCCCTCACCAGGGAAATAAAAAGTCTTACGAAACATATTTCTAGGTGTTCCAAAGAACTAAATTTAAGCCGCATCCTTTCAGTGGTTCACTAATAATACTATGCTTAAAACAAAGCAAGCTCTTGCACATACAGTGCAATCAATTTTCTCAAGTGTATGCTGTTTTGTAGTCAGCTGGTTTCGGAAACTTACGCCGTCTGTTGATATTTCTGGCAGCCGAGTTCCTTAATTGGAATTCATCGCAAATATAAGTTACACGTTGCAGCAACCAAAGTTTATAGGTAAACGATGACAGCGACTGGGGCGCTCTCGCATGCCCACCCATCACGTCGAACAAAAAGGCGCTAGTTTCGGTTTGAGGTTGGTACTTTTCTACAACACCTACGGCGTCAGTACCAGTCTGCACTCGGTGCATTCGGCAAGTTTGTTCGGGGCCTGTTATCCGTGCAGCATTCCGCGGGTGCAATGCATTAGAACTCTCACAGTGCAAGTCTGGATCGCGGATCGGGAGCCCGTCACTGGCCTCACTGGCGGCCATTGCTTGACAACAGGCAATACGCCGCGTCCTCTTCTTCGTGAACGGAGCGTCGATCGCGTTGGAGCAGTCACCGTCGTTGTGGTTAGGCTTTGCTGGCTGCAGCAAACGTTCTCCACTGACATTTTCTGCCTGGGTTTGCGTCGCATTTCTTGAAACTTGCGCTTGTTTCTGTACCTCCCGACGTGGAAATTGTGATTTTTTTTTTTTTTTTTAGTGTTGTCTATTGCAAATTGAATCCGAGATACGTAGAAAGTTCTGCTGTCCAGGTCAACGGCCTCTCGAAGACGGTGGATATTTGCGTAAGCTTGCAATTTCTTTAGCACCTCGTTTCTTCCTAACTTTGGGTGAGAATATTGTTTTAGAGCGCAGCTCTTAGGCGCCCGTTTCCGGCTTGAGCGGCGTCACCGTTGCCGTCGGCGTAACCGCGCGGTGCATTATGGGTAAATTTTCCCAAAGGAACCCGAGGTCCTCCCGAAGGAACCCGAGGTCCTTCGGGAGGACCTCGGAAGGACCTCGGGTTCTTTCGGGAGGGCCTTGGGAGGACCTCGGGCTCCTTCGGGAGGACCGTGGGAGGGCCTCGGGTTCCTTCGGGAGGGCCTCGGAAGGACCTCGGGTTCCTTCGGGAGGACCTCAAGAGGACCTCGGGTTCCTTCGGAAGGACCTAGGAGGGGGGGGGGGTCACGTGACGATGACGTCATCAGTGATGATGACGATGATAATGCGGATGCCGATTACGTCATTGGCATCCGCATCGCCGTCGTCATCATGACTGATCAGGTCACGTGACCCCCCCCCCCCCCCGAGGTCACGTGATCTCCCAGGTCACGTGACCCCCCCTTCCGAGATCAACTGATCCCCCCAGTACCCTTCCCTCCTCCTCCTCAAGAGCTGCGCTCAAATTCGGCGTTACAGGGAGTTGTAAACGGCTTTTTTTTTTTCTTCTCATAAAACTAGAATGTCCAAGCATAATAAAGCGAGCAAAAAAAAAAGACAGTTTTTAAAATAAATAGTTTTTTTTTTTAATTTACATCTTCTCTTAATACAGACATCTGAACTAATAAACGAAATTTCATGTCACAATAACCTTTTATTGCTAAGTTATTGAAGTTTCAAATTTGGCCTGACCGGCCGAGAGGCTCTGCTGGCAACACTGAGAATGTGACGTCGAATGTAGTAATCTGGGGCAGTACAACCTGTTCCTGAAGGTGTACGAGAAGTTTGATAGTGTGAAATGAACGCTGGAGAATCTCGTGCCAGCAAAACGAAACTGAACTCGCACAATACTGCATTTTATAGACCGCCCACTCGACATGGAGGTTACGGTATACAACATGTTGCACAACCCCACGGGAGAGCATGGCAAAATTTGAATGCTGGTCTTGGCATTGCCTTCATTTACCTTTTTTTCAACAGTTATTTTGAATTTGAAGATAATAAACAGCACGCTGAAAGGACTTTGATATTCCGAAAACGCGTTTAGTTGATTAAAGGGCAACTGCGGTCTATACTTTCGAGTTTGGGATTATGACTGTTTTTAGTGCAGTCAGCGTCCCTGAATTGCAAGGTGTAATTTTTTCTCGTTATCGTGCGTAGTTTTAAAGATATCGACGCCCCAAAGTTTTGTTTGGGGCGCGGCCAACAAAACCGAAACTAGCCGCTCGAGGCCCCGGCAACTCTGGACATCAGCCGCTATGTGAACGTGACGTCAGGATCGTTCTTGTTCATTGAGTACGCAGGCCGAGCGGTACCTACTTCTGTTGCGCTAGCCGTCTAAAGATAGGAAGTAAGCTGATTTTGTTTTAATTCTGTATACGTAGTGTTATCCAGCATATGTAGCAAGAGTTAGTGCGTATACCCAAAAGCTAGCGACTGGAAAACCTGTGAACTCGTACGGTGCCGTACTTGGCGGCCGCCGCCGTGCGTGCACTATGCCGTACCCGTCGCTTGTATACACAAAAGCTAGCGACTGCAAAACGAGCGTTCGGTGCCGTACTCGGCGGCTGTGGCCGTGTGTGCGGTCTTCCGTACTCGTCGCTAGGCCTAAATTGTTATCGGGGCTCCGTGGATGGAGCGGCGTTGCTCTATGCCGCGCTGCCAGTGACGTACAGTACTGGGGGCCCTCTCGCTTTCGCGCGGCGGGTCAGTCCGAGACACAAAGCTTTGAGGCTCTCCGGCGCGGGCCGCGGCGCCCGAACACACGTGTGCTGGGCTATGTGCGTCTGTTTTTTTCGTTCTTTTTTCCTTGGGCGCGTAAAAGCCGAAGTCCAAAGTCCACTCGCCGAACAGCGTTCACCCACACCTCCAATTTCCGGTCCGTTGGAAACTTGTGAAAAAGCACCTCCATGTTGCACAGCGGGTTGTTTGAGCATCCCACAGCGCTACAAGTTGCACTCGGCATCTTTCGAGGAAGGGCTGGGCAGTCTGAGGCGCACCGAGTTGCTCGCTAAAACGAGTTTTGGAGTCCTCGCAAGCAAATAAACAAAAGGCTATACCGAAACTACACGGGCTACAGATAAAAGTAACGGCTAAACACGCCAATCACAAGCCGAAGTAGCAGTGGTAGCGGCTCACAGAAGTGCACTTTGCGCAACGCCCGGACCGGAGAAAAAAAGAAGAGAATGATACTGACGTCACGGCCCAATGTTGCTTTAGCGATCGGCAGCCCGCGGCGGGTCGCATTTTTATTATCGGCATTAGTTGAGAATGTGGCGTCCCACGGACATAATATTTTGTCTGGGGTCGTATTTTGTGTCACTACAGCGATACCAGTAATTTATTTCATTTTGAGTTTCGGCCGGAGTTGCCCTTTAAGGCAGCTCGAGGCTGGCAGCGCGTGACAAGCATTGTATCTCGTCGTTCCAGGCCCTCCTTCGAGCTGCTGCAGAAGTGGCTGGCAGGCATCTCGCTGCATTTGCTCGTGAACAGCCCACTACCGCAGGAACTGCTCAGCGACATTGCCAACTTTGCGGGCATGCCGTCGCCCGGATCCTCTCCGTCGGCCGAGTCCACGCCGGAGTCGCTCACTCCGCCCGAGTGCCGACGTTCCCCACTGCGGACCATCAGTGAGCAGGCGCTGGACTCTCCGCGCTCTTCCTTGGAGCTGGACTGAAGCCTTGCTAATGTTCTCGTCGAGTTTTTGTGTTTTTTTTTGTTTTCACCTGTTTTTGTTTGTCTGTGTGTGTGTTTTTTTTCTGGTGTGTGTGTGTGTGTGAAGAGAGGGAGATTCTTTCCGTTTTTTGGTTACAAACTCTCGAGTGAACTTTCGAAGGGGGTCGAGGAAACGCCCGTGAAGAGTGCGCAAGGGTTGAAACGTCCGGAGCCGTGCAGCTCCGTGGTGATTGGCGACCCTCGCGCGGTCTTCCTTTCTGCATTACAATTTTTTTTTTTTTTGAATAGTGGGCCAAAAGGGAATCTATACATCCCACTTGTAATTACTTGAACTGATTCCTGATTTTATGGTTTTCATCGTTTGTCTCTGCCTTTGGTCTCGGATCTAAATCCCCTTTTCTCATTTTTCGAAAAAGGAGATAGGAATTTTTTTTTCCTCTTACATTTGGTTGTTTGGTAGGAAGTTTTAAATTTGATTTTCTTGTCTGCATATCATGTCCAGACTTTTGTAATATACGAATGAGGAAAACAGAACATAGAACATAGAAGAGATAAACATGAATGTCTGTCGTCTGTTTTTGTCCCCTCTATGTTCTGTTCTCATAATTATTAAGGAACAGACCAACAATGCCAAGCTGTTCTTTTTGTCATTTTTTTCCCCTAAAGCTCTCTGCCAAATGCCAGCTAAATTTTGTAGTGTAAACACACAGAAACCACATTTCCAGTCTTTAAATGTGCTGTGGGGGCAGAAAAAAAATTTTTTTTTTCTTCAGGTAATATTTGGTTTGTTAGGTTGTCTAAGCATGACATTAAAACCTCTAAGCGGATGTGGTGCCATTTAAGGTTATTTCATTGATATTTTAAAGATGATTGATTCTACAGTTAGTGCAGTCTTTTGATTTGCCTTTTTTCCGAATGATGCGTTTTATGGCTCACTTCAATGCTGCAAGTACCTCAACAGTCCATGCATGGTCATTGGGAGGGACAGAAGGATTTCTTCTTTTCAATGCAGCCTAAAAGCTGTTTCATGGTTCATTTAGGTTTACTTTAGCTGTGTGGAGATAGCACGGGCCAACTTCCTTGTAGATGCAAACAACCCTGTGGTAGCTTTTCTGCTAATACCTAAGGGCAAATGAGGGTTTAGAAAGTTTTTTTGTTTATTTATTCACATAGCTTGTCTATTTTTCATTGGAGGTATATATTTCTTAATGCTGATTTTTAGACTGAAATTAGATATCAAATATATTTCCTAGGGTAGATAGCGATGTTGAACGTCCTTCCTATCTTGAAGGTCATTAGAGTGATCTCTCGTTGAGAAATGCTTGCTTTTGATTATTTGTGGTACTTTCCAAGGGTCTGGCATATTTCATAAAGCAATAGAATGTTAAAGCTGATATCTTGTTTTAATAAATATTGTATTTTGAAAAAGGAAGAATGGACAAAAACTGCACCAAGTTACAGCTGATTAATTTTTTATCCTTCCTGTTTAACGTGAGAACTCGAACTTTAAGCCACATTTCAGTTACTGCAGAACACAACAATATAGTACCAAGTTGACCGAAGTCTGTTCCTGATGACGTTGTCAAGACCTTGTAAAGCAATGACATTTTACCAAAAAAGAAATGAAGTTGTGAAAATCTCATTTGAAGTGTTTGCTTGCCCTATGTCAGGCCCTTTGACACTTATAACTTGCTGGTTTTTTTTAATAGCGAGGGACTGTATTGAATTTTTATATCTTATGAGGAGATACTCTGAACCTCAAATATTGCATTTTGAAAAACACAATGAACAGTGTTGCAATTCTTTTGCTTTTTTTAATAGCCACGTCCTTTCTTAACAACCTCGAGTTACTATGCGTGCCAGGGGTGTTGGATTCTAAGCTCTGCTCCGTTTACTGTTTTGATAGAAACTACTAGGACATTTTGAAAGCATACGACATCTTAGAAGTGCCGCGTTTCTGGTTGAGCACTCGCACAAAAATCAAAACGCCCGCGTGGTCGAATGGGGAGTGAGAAATGACAGGGATGCAAGTCTGGGAGTTTTGCGGGTCCTAATCGTGTTTTTGTACAAACTGTAGAGTGACTCAATGTTGACGACCATTTGGTCAGCATTTGTGCCTAGATGTTGGGATGCAAGATTCCATTGGAAGAAGTTCTTCTTTTCAAAATTGAAAGTCAAGTTTGATTTGCGTCTTTTTTCTTTCATCTGTGCAATGCACATTAAGTGAGGCGTACCGCCTGTTTCCATTGATTTTGTCATTCCGTTTTCTTGTTTTTTTTTTGTTTTTTTTTGTCACCTGTCTCATAGTGAGCTTTAAAAGTGCACAAGGGTCCATGTATATATTCACCCTGCCTTCATTCTCCAAGTGTAGCAGCAGCCTTTGTTCTTCCCAAGAGTGCTTTTGAAATGGCCAAAGACACTTTTGAAGGGCAAGTTTGGAGTCTTCACATTCTACTATAGTGCCAGGAATCTGTCAGTGCTATACCTGTCTTTATCATTCCAGCCCTCAGTGGATGTGAGGATGAAAAGCAAAAAGTTTCTATATTTTATGTGCTTTTTTGCAAATAATTTATTTTTTGTCTATCTTTTCTAAAAAGCAGTTACCTGTACATAACATATAAGTTATTTGCTCTATTGATTGTGTCTGACTGTACTTATTGTATGAGCTGTGCTGAGTTATTTGTATGTGTACTGTTCTTTGTTTTGTGCATTCTTTTCCGAGTGGAAGCATTGTTTTGCGTGATTCGCCACCTGCAAATTTGGTGGATTTGGGCATGTCATTGCTCTCTTTATTATCTCGGAGCAATACTGGCCTTGGTTTTCGATGTCTCACGGGCAAGAAGTGCTTTTCTATGGACTTGGTAGTTGAAGCTCATTTTGTGCTTCAGGTTGCTATAATCACGACTGCATGCGAGTTGCGGAGTAGCACTACTTTCTACAAACATTGATGAGTCACACATTGTGTAGCTAAAGCTATGGAGGACATCTTCACTATTTTTACATGGATTCATTTTCCTGTAGATTTTTATAATTTTTTTTAAATTTTATGGTATATAATTGAGAGCAACCAGCACATTTTGGAGTTGAATCTCGTAGCTTGGCCGGAGTGGCAAGAGAAAAAAGTATGGCATGCTATGATTCTCGCGACAGCTGTTGTAGGCCATTCAGAAAGTTATAATGTCGAGGCTTGCTTGCCACGTTTCCGGTGCCCGAGTGCGAGAAATTGAAGCCAGTCTGTACGAGATTGAGACGTGCATGAGAAACCTTAGCGGAAGCTCCTTATGTAAAATCCAGGATGTCTTGACAATTGATTCGATACACTGCCAGAGAATGTAGTTACAGGCAAAACCTTGAATGTCTAGAAATGTGAAAAACAAGACAAATCTTGAAGAATGTATAGAACTTTCAAATATCCTTTTTAGTTTCTCGGCATGTGACGGGCATCCTGTTGCCTACTTTGCACCTTGTGGGCTTTGTATTGGCCAATCTGGTGTTCAAAAATTAGGAAATCAAAAGGTGAGCCCAGGTTCTCCAGCAGCAAATTGCAGATGCGATTCACTATTGTGCAAACCCATCGTGATTTGTCAAGGTGTTCAAGTAAAGACACCAAATGCTGCATGGGAGTTACCCATAATTTTTTTTTTCTTGTGTTGTTTGATTGGAGGAAGTTCTTTTGAAACATTGCTATCCCTCAAGCTGTTTACATTGATACCGATCAACTCAAAGTGTTGTCACTGATAGGATATCTATGCATGTGTTCAAGAGAGGCTCGATTGTAATTGCATAAAATTGCGTCTGTTGGTGATACTCTCACAGTTGTTTTTGCAGCACAGTATGCATAAGGGTAAGGCATACTTGATAAAATGAAATCAAAATTTAAAAATTGCTGTTTCTTTAGTTTCTTTTGTGAATCGAGAAAAAATTGTATGAAAATCGTCTTTATTGTCTTGGCATTGCGGTCAATAAAAATGTCTAGACTGGAGTTAGTAGAATTATGATGTATTCATTGATAATTAGTCACAAATGTCTCATTTCACCCCGACCCCCGGTGCAAAACGAGACAGCTGATGGTGTGAAGTGAGACACCCTATCAAACAAAGTTGTATTGTTTTGCCCACAATGGGGGGGGGGGGGGGGGGGGGGTGCAAAGAAACGAAAGCGGCAGCCATAGCACGGTCGCACAATGCAGGTGGAATGGTGCCGTCACGTACCCAAGGACAAAAATGCAATGTGGTTAATTCTCATTGCTGCCAGGGTTGACGTCGTGGATGCCCCTGACGACTACCACCAGTGATCCTCGAAGTAAGTGGGTAAGCGCGGTGGAAGTTCCTAAGACCATCCATCATTACACATAGAAACTGGATAGTGCCAAAGTGGGATTTCGCAAAATGCGAGAAATGTTTGGAAATTTCTTTGAAGCAGACGACAGGAAGATTTTATCAAACGCCGTTCAGATTAATACTACAGGAAACAACCGAAAATACATGGGGTTGGCAGGAGACGTGGAAGTGGTGCCATCTCTTTGGGAAGAGTGGTCAACTTGGTGCCGAAAATTGGATTGCTGTCAGTCGTGTTCCATTGTTTTCCACCCTTACACTATCGTTAAAAAATACATAGTTGGCGATTAAAATTGAGAAACGCTTGGTTATGGCACTTTTGTATTAATTGATCTATTCCAAAAATTCATATGGAAGTCACAGTGCACGGAACACACACACAGCACGCACAAGCACAGTATTCAGTGTTGGAGTGCATCGGGAAGTTCGGCGGGCAAGCGGTATCCGAGTTGTCCAAGTATTTTTACCAAGCACACCAGCGCCAAGCGCATCCAGATGCCGAACCAAAGTGTAATCAAGTACGAAAATGTCACATTCAGGCCGGAATCAAAAATGCCGGTTCCGCCTAGACCCGAAATTGGGGCACCAGCTTGTATCCAGCCTGGAACCGCGCATTTCCAACCCTAATTTTAAACCCAGGCGGTGCACCGCCGGAATTCCCGCTGCACTCACCACTGGACTCTACAAAAGAATTTCATGTTATGACCTTAGCCGTTACAACCGAGAGATCGTCGCGATTTCAGACCCAGGCAGACTGGGTCTGAAATCGCGACGATCTCTCGCTTGTAACGGCTAAGGGCATCGCACGAAAGACTTCTGTAGAGTCCAGTGGGGAGCGCAGCGGTAATTATCGCGCCGCACACGGTCGTCCAGGCGTCGTCGCGTCGTTATTAAACACAGTGCACGGAACACACACACAGCACGCACAAGCACAACAGTATCCAGTGTTAAGGCCAGTTCACACGATGCATTTTTCTCGCGCATCTAGTGTCGCGAAACGTAGTTTCGCGAAATGGTTGCGCCGTCTGAACGAGTCCGAAAAGGGAGCGCGCATCTAAAAAAAAGTTGCGCGCACACCTCGCTTCTGGAGCGAGCTTTTGCTGAAACTTTGCCGAGTCCTGTCAATCACTCTGAGGGCGCCGCCAATGGCCGCTCAGAAACGCTATCACGTGGCCTTTGAGGGGGGGAGCGAGCTGTTTGAGAAGACCACTTCACTGCCGGTGTTGTAGCCGAGCCAAATCCGAAAAAAAAAACCGAAACCACGAACGATGGATCGATGGATACTGCCGGCGCTTCCGCAAGCACGTCAAGCACCACTGAAGAAAAAGTGAGCAGCATATCGGAAAAAAAATCCAGCGATGGACGAAGACGTAATTGGTGATGATGATAATTCGCGTCTATTTTTAGTCATAATTAAGAAATAAAACCTTGAGACAAGGAAACAAAAAGGGACGTACACAGTACCGTCTCAAAACCAGCACAGCGTGCAGCTCTCATTTACTTCCACAACAGTCTTCTTCTTTGTCAACCTCCATCCAAATTATACATATTCAGCAGTAAATAAAGTAAATGGCAGTAAATGGCAATTCAACAACTAGTAAATGAAAATTTAAGAGTAAATTAAGTAAGTGGAAGTAAATGACAGCTGTATGCTGTGCTGGTTTTAAGACGGTGGTGTGTTTAAGCGCCACTTTATGGTCAACACCCAAACTATTTTCGCGAGTCTAAACGTCATCGTTGTTGCACGTGAAGTGGTACGTGTGAACGAGCACATTACGCGAAACTTGAGTGTCGCGAAACTGTTGCGCGCCTAAAAGATGCATCGTGTGAACAGACCTTTAGAGTGCATCGGGAAGTTCCGGCGGGCAAGCGGTATCCGAGTTGTCCAAGTATTGTCACCAAGCACACCAGCGCATCCAGATGCCGAGCCAAAGTGCAATGGATTCAAAGCCGAGGTCAGTGGGTATCCATCCAGGGCAACGATGGGCGCGTAAGTATCCGTGCGCCCGCAGCGCGAACGTCGCCGCCGGCCGGCAGTCCGACGGGAGCGGAGAACCGAAACCAACCTCCGGACACAGAGCGAGTTGCGCGGCCCGAACACGGATGGCGCCACCATAGAGGTGTACAGCAGCGCTCGCGTGGTCGGAGGCGCTCATTACTAAAAACTAAACAAAACAATAATGAATCAAACCTCATTCAACTTTAGTTATGACTGCATATTATTTTACTAAATACAAATTACGTATTCCTAAAAATATAATATATTTTTTTAAAAGTTTATGTCAACATCTCGCTCTCAAAATTGTGCTTTTTTCTGTTTTTTGCGTTTCTAAAACGAAACCGCTGCCTATGCGCATGCGCGCTTGCGCTCTGCGCGTTCTGAAACCAGTGGGCCGTTGTGGAGGCGTCCGTGGGTCTGCTCGGTGCTTTCGCGCTTTCGCTCGCCTTCGGAGCGTCAAGCTTCGGCGCCTCGATCATCGCATTGCGCGAGCCTCGAACTTTCGGGCAAGTGGAAAGCTTTTCGTGTCTTTGAACCACCTCATTTGTGCGGTTATGCAAAGTCGTACCCAAGCAGCGTCGGGGACAAGAAGCACCCGTTCGTTTGGATCCCAACTGACGACGGTGAGTTTGAAAGTTTTCACCCCAATTGAAACTTTTCCTAAGCTGATCTTCCAGCCACAAATTGCACCATTGGAGGGTTTTGTACTCTTTTAGGTAATTGAATATATCGTTTCATTTTTTAAATTTACAAAATGTCACCGTGATTTCATTGCGATCTACCCATTTCGGCGAGCGTTCTTAGCACGGTTTTGTGGATGAAGACCGTCCTGCAAATATTTTACGATCTGTAGACTGTTGGCGAAATATCACCTCCTCTACCTCTCGTCGATCTCGTTCACAGCAGTGTCGATACCCCGTCGAGTAAATTGAAGTCTCTATATAAATATTCTTCGCCCAGTTTTATAATATTTCGGAGTTCACATCCTCCAATATCTGCCCGTTTTTATTAATGTATCTCGTGTAGATTCTTTTACAGCCCTGCGACTCGTTTTTTCACGTTTTATTTCTTTCAAAAATAAATAGAAAGCTGGATAGTAAAATAATTTTAAAGACACTTTTAAATTTTTGAAAGATTTACGCATAGAAAGGCGGAATGCAGACAGCAGAGCTTGATCGCGAGATGAGCTATCCGTCCTTCCATTTGCAATTCTTTTAAAAGTTTTTACACCTCCCAACGCACTCCCCTCAAAATTAAAACTCGCGTTAGGCATTTTTTTTTTTCGTTTGTTGCAGATAAAATAGCATTATTTGCATTTTTTTTTTCTTTTTATGTATTCATACAGATTCTCAAGGCATGAAAATCACTCCAACAAGCCTCAGGGACAGGGAACCCAATAGACAAAAGGTATGTCCGTGGTAACTTTTTTGTGAAGTGCACTTGATTGTTTGCCAACCTATCAAGCTTCCTGAATATGTAACCATCAGCATGCTAGGTTTCGCCGTAGTGATCTATGCAGTCTAATCTACGATCAACTGTACTGTAAAACGAGAGTGGCTGGGGCAAAGAGAATTACAACAAAAACAAAAGCATAGTAGGAGCAGCCCTCTGCAATATTTCATAGCCCTGTTTCTCTTCTGCAAGTGTATGTGTTGTGACGAGACAAACTAATGTGTTCTTACATTGTCCTGTGCAGATCCTGGGAGGATAGAGAACACACATACAGCAAAAATTAGAAAGAGCAATGAAGTGGCTGGCCCATCCCATGGGCATCATAGGATCTCGATGGCCCACACCAAGAAAACCTGGTTCAACTCGTGGTTCAACTTGACGGTGCAAGCGACAGGTATCGGAAGCTCATCAAGAGGCCAAGAGAATTGAGAAATACCAAAGTGGTCTACAGAGAGCTAGGTCTACATATTATTAAGTCTCTAAAGATTTTGGTTCAAGTCTGTAAGTAAGCAACGAATAAGTTTGCCCGAATTACAATTCATTGTGTTAACTGTTTATTTGCATGGACCAGTCAGAATGACACGAGCTTTCAACTAGGCTTGAAATCTTTTGGCTGTGCTTCTTAAGACCCTCGAGAGGCAATGTTGTCCACTGCGTCAGCAGGTTGCTCTTTGCACGATTTTTGTGGAGCAAGATCATAGACTAACAGAAGCCTCTGAGCATCCACTTTGTTTAGACACGTTGTTAGCCTGCTGGTGGCCAACAACCTCTAGGCAGTTTTCTTTTTAAAGTGGGAGGGCGAGGGGGGGAAATATCTGTTGCTTCGAACCAGTGATTCCAGGACCTTTGGCAGCTAGAATTCAAACTACGTATTTGGAGAGTTTCACTCTTTAAGATCTCAAGTTCGGGGATGGGGGGGGGGGGGGGGGGGGGGGGCGCGGCGCTTATGACAAAATGCTGTATGGGGGGAGGGGGGAGAGGTCCTAGCAAAGTGGAAGATTTCGGGGGCGGGGGGGGGGCAGGCCCCATGGGCCTCCCCCCTGGCTATGTGCCTGCCTCACCAATAGGGCTGTTTGCATACAATTCTCCGGCAAGGCTGCATATTTACTTTGCACCGGGTTTGCTTCTATGTAACACATATCAGAAATTATGATTGTTTTCATGTCACGGAAACAGACATTTCTATTTGCTGTTACAAT